TAAGAACTATGGGGCAATATTCTCGAGGGCAAAGAGCCTCTTTTCAAGTCTTCTTGAAAGGCAAGACAGTAGCCTCCCACCATGAGAATGGGGTTGCGAATAGCGAAGTAGTATTCTTTTACCAATAAAAAATTCCAGGAATGTTGAATTTTCCGGGTTTGAGAAATTTGTATCATTACCGGGAAATCTCTCATTCCCGGAAGAGCTCTGCATCAATTATTCAAGTTAGTGGGGAGCTGAATTATATCAACTGTAGCTATACTACCACAAAGAATCTCAAGGGAAAATATAGTTTCTATTATTAGTATAAAAAAAATAAGTAAAATAAAATCTAATCATGATTTTTTCACTCTGATTTAAATCATATTAACTCTGTCTTGAACTACAGAAATTCCAAAACTAAGCCCTGGACATAAAGAATTTGTTGAAGATCTTCACTTTCAGTAATTACATTCCCAACAATCTAGACTTACCTTTAAATTTAAATAGTTACTGGTATTCTCTTAAAAGAAGCATCACTACATACCTCTGTCAATTTGCTGAAGCGGACGGACTTTACTGAAGAGTCATCAGATTCTCCATCAGAACTTTTTTCTTGCAATTCTTGTAGTTTCAGAGGAACATACTTTGGTTCACTCTGAAAATAAAAGAGAGGGCTTGGTGAGTGGTGTTAGGGCTCTGAACATTTTGAAATAATAATGAAACTACAATACAATTATGTCCCTCTGAAAATATCATAACTTCTTCATACAGCAATGGCCAACTCAAGACTAAATTATTTATGTTAACCTCGACTATACTGTGGTCATACCTTGTTATCCATTAAAAAGAACTGACACGCTTCATATGAGAACACTTTGGGGAGGGGAGGGGGGCAATACAAAAAAATCCAGGGATTTATGGTCCTTTTAACTAATCAGTTTCCTTTCATAGTGGTTCTCCAATGATCAGGTTTAGCTAACACGAAGCTGTGGCCTCTTGAGAGTACAGTAATTGGTACAATATTGCATTTCAAAATTTTTGAGAAGTGAATGTTTTAGTATTTATGCAGTAGCTAGTAAACCTCAATCCTATGTCCAATTTCCCTCTGTCTTGTAATGTCTATGGGCCCAAGGATTTGCATCTGTCCTCATATGACAAATGCCCTGTATGCTAACTCTGGGACTAGATTTATTGCTACATGCTGCATTTTGGGGGGAGTAATTCATTATATTTGGCTAGAAAAAGTGACCAGTATTAAACTCATAGTCAATGATAGGTCTGACTCGTGTCAAATAAAGTGGTACAAATATATCCTTATTTATAAAGGTAAAGATACTCTGTATTAGCCAAGTCTACCATTGGCTTTAGCTGCAACAGTGGAAAGCAGGTTTTTTCAATAATTACAATCGAAAGGTTGAGTACATTTTCACTTGTGTACAAAGAAATGTATGTGTTTGCCCTCAGGACAATTTTTTTTTACCTGTATTGCATATATATATGTGTGTGTCTACACACATACACAATACAGGTAAAGTAAATTACTGTCTCTAGAACGAATGCTCCTTGTCCCAGCAGTGAAAATGACGGCAACTTTAAAAATACCCGCAGACATTCTTGGGTACATCCAGGGTGTCATCATGCGAATAATAGAGGACTGCGAAATAAAAATTAACGAATTATTCGGGCGTACTGTACATTCAATATAAAAAATTTTCCCAAATCATCTGTGCACTTGTGCTCTTCACATTTCTTTTTCATCACTCATAATGCACAGCAGATTATAATCGGTTATGCTGCCATTATAATGTTTCCTAACAAATGCAAAAGTGATGGTACTGAATCAACACTTAAACTCTGTGACCATGGTGTAAGAACCACAAAAATTATGGCTTTGAAAAAATTTGATAAATTATTAAGTGTTCAATATTTCAGCCCCAAGTTAACCCCTTCACTATGGGGATGCCACTCTTTTAATGTTTTATTTGGTTAATGCCAAATAATTTGATTCAGCAGAGAGCCCCTAAACACAAGGGGTTTATTAGCACACTACAGTATACACTGTACAGTACGAATATAGGTAAAAAAAGACAGAATAATACCGTTTCATTTTTTTTTCAGTGATAAACTATGTTTCATTGAAATTAAAACAGTATTTAGTAAGTAAAATACAGATACAAAGGCCAAACCAGCCTAGTGAGTGCCAGGGCACTCTGAAAATACTGCACATTTATCTCAAGGCACTCACAGTTGACCCTTAATTTACACAGTACATACAGTACTATAGTTATACAAGGTATTCTTCAAAAACACTGAACAAACAGAAGCCATGTAAAAATGAACAACGAGCCAAAGTCTTGAGGCTTTTTTCAGGTATCCCCAGGTGCTTAGGTCTGTCTCAAACAATGATGCAGATTTTTGCTCAACACCTTTGAAGACCACAAATTTATTTATTCATTGTCAGGTCTGTTCGGAGAGATCAGTCAGTTGGTTTATCAGGGCTAGGGTAGTGAGAGTTACCTCACTTCAGCGAAAGGTTGACCGTAATACTGTATGATGTATGATAAACAATGAAATTGATTCATATCATATCAGTTCAGCAAGGCAGTCAACCAGGTGTATCTTTCGTGTGTTTGTGTGTGTGCATCTGTATGCCATGACATCACACCAAGGGGAGGGAGCACGGTCTGGGTGACAAGCCACTGACTCGGTTAAAGCCTCCTGCCTACCGAATCCATACAAACATTCACTTCCCACACATACACACCCATGCTCTTAAGTTTTCTTATTTTATAGCTTTATACTATTTATTTTTATTTTTTTCAAAGCCACATTAGAGTGGCGAGTCAGCAACATAGCTACAGCCCACTGCCTCCCAAGTTCGTTCGTTCATTCTCTCTATCTCTCTCCCACTCACACACACACTTCGCTTTTCTTAGTTTATAGTTTATTGCATATTAATTATTTCTAGGCCACCTTAGAGTATTATAATGATTTTTCCTCAACTTTTATAGCATTACTGTTGTCTTTTATTGTCGTTATGAAAAAGTGCCAGAATTAAGGTAGAGGGGCTCCATAAATGGTTGTAGAACACATCCCCATAAGATTAAGAATTCACTTTGTGATTTCAAGTCAGGCGAAGTTTTTGCAGAATGTAATCCTCGCATGAAGCAAGGGTCAGAGGAATTATGCTTACAAACATACAAAAACACCCGGAAAACACTGAACAGTTGATCAACTGTCATTTCTAAATATCTAATATCAGTCTGGCAGCCATTATCTTGGCATAAAAAAATTAAATTGTCTCTGACTCAGTGTCTGGGTCTTAACCACTTTGGCCTCAGCTCTAACTGGGCCCATATGCTGAATTAGCACTAATGACTTGGTTAAATACTACAGGTATCGTAATTCAAGTGGATTAACAATAATCTCCACTGTTCATGTTATGCCAAGCACCAAGAGGTTGAGAATACTGTTATACAGATCTCTCTCAAATGTAAATTTTTATGACAAAACCATCTCAAACAAAAAGAAAAAATCAAAGTTTTTATCCATTTTATGTAAAGTACACACAACAATATAATAGACTGGAGCGGACCTTTTCAGTTCCGAATTTCCCCTTCATTAGATATCCTAAAAATGTCATTCCTTACAGTAATATACCTTTAACTTATACTTTCTTATTATCAAAACTGTTAAACACACATTCAACAAATATAATTCTATCTTCAGTACAACTTCCCTCTCACAGAACATTACAACAATGGTGAATTTCTTTCACACATTATTATTTTCAACAAAATCTATAACTAAAAATTTTATTAAAAATTTCATCATTGTACTTTACCCTAATGACCTGATACAACAGATCACACACACAACTACTAATCCTCCCCCAAAAGTAGATTTTACATTTCACACACAATTTATTCTCATTTAAGTTCTAAATTCACTCCCTCATTTTTCATATTTCTATCATCATAAACCCCAATAAATATTTGTTTTAATTTTTGAGTTGAATGCCAATTTATTTTCCAATTCTTCAACAAAATTTTCTTCCTATAATGCATTCTTAACTTCATATCTTTGAATGCTAACAACTCCTGTACATATGACTGGCAAAAATAATTTAGAGACACCTTTTCATCATTGTTGTTATAAATCGTTCTAGCTTGTTGAATGGGTAAATAGTGCCACAGGACCAAATGTGTCAGTTGAGCATTCGCATCACTGTCTCTCGCAACACTAGATGCCAGCTGGTCCAAAGTGAAGATGGGCACAGGTGGAGGGGTGCGCCTGTCTCTCGTCAGCAAGAGCTTCATATTAATAAGAAGAGTAATAAAAATAAATACTTCTATAATATACATTACAATAATCAGTATAAACCCTGATAATTACCGGTATTGGTAAAACATTAAAAAATATTTTCCATAAATTTGATTAAGATTTCCTGACATTTTCGCCCCCAGGCCCCGATGTGGGTCAGTGACCTGTGCCCGGGTGGGCTAATCCCTGTAAAAAATAATAATAATAAAATGGATAAAAACTTGGGAAAAAAATAAATAACAAAATGGGGGTAATCAGCCTCAGGTACGTAGTCATCTGAGGTCCTCATCAATGACTTAGGTGAAGGTTTCTGAGCACAGTAAAACTCCACACAGTGCAGTAGCTGCATTCTCAGAAAATGCCAGGTCATGCAAAATAGCAACTTCTAAAGAATTAATGTATTCTCTGGGTTTCAGATTGTTCATAAAACTTGTTAAAAGTAACCTTTTGACAAGTGTTTAAGTATAGATATCCCTCACTATATGCAGTCTGTATACTGAATAGACTTTTGTATAGAAGAAATTTTTAAGTAAGTGAACACTTTTCACTATGTGCTACATATATTCATTAATACATAATTTCTCCTGTCATGCAAATTTTAAACAGGTGTACCCAAACAATTTTGGACCACACCACTCTACTACAACCTATGCAGTTGCAATACATTTATCCATCAAGTTAAATGAGACTAGTGAGGTGGATATGCAATGTGGCACTGAAAGACAAAAAATCCTTTTCAGAGGTAAGAGGGTGGCTGGTATTGAGTTCTATTGGCAAAATTCTGTGTAGCAGTATGCTGAGATGGTTTGGAATTTTGGAGAATGAATCACACTAATTAGGTCAAGAGGTGTATGAGTCTAAATGTGGGGGGAGAAGAGCCAAGAATGACATGGGGAGAGGTTGTAAGAAATGACATTAAGAGTTAAGAACCTGACAAGAGGGAATGCAAAAGACTGTAGAATGGAAAGTTGCCATCAGATAATCACGGCTAATCCACACAAGCGTGGAAAATGGTTATAAAACACTTTGCCCAACCCGGTCTTCAAACAATTGTCTTTCCCTCATAAAAAAAACACCACACTCCTCCACCAGTCTTACCACAACTGCCACACAATAAATTTACTGTTATTTTTACATTAATTTACACCTAATTTAGAGATATAGAAAAGAAAGGTATCGACAGCAGTGACAATAACAATGACGACTGACCATCAGAACTCCCCAATGCTAATGGTAGAGATAACAATGAGGGGCATGAGCAATGAGGAGTTTGGAGGCTTATCAACAACATGCTTTTACACCAGATTTGAGGCTATAATTGAGTCTCTTTCTGAAATTGTTGGAACAAAGCCAGCAATAAGAAATTACTCTATTTAGCTATGAAATATTATGCTTTAATAATTGCTGTATCACCTTAATATAAATGACACAAAATTATTGTAAGGATTAAGGCGCAAAATCTATTTATACTTTGCATAATTTGAACACTGAAGTGAAGGAGTTAATAATACAATTAAGTACTACAAGCACCCATTCACAATTCCATCAACATAATACTTTATTACATCACAACTACAAATGGCAAGTACAATTCAACATACCAAACATCTGACAGCGGTAAATCTTCATCCTCCATTGAATCCACTTCCTGTAATAGCAAGAGAATATTAGAAGCATACTCAACTCAACACTTAATGTTGTCTGGATGTTATTTATGGAAATTTTTGAGCTAGAAAGCTTAAATTTGGACACATTACTGACCAAGTGCTTTGACAATACATTTTTCACTTCATATTAATATACACTCCCTCCCAGTGCCTCTTCAGGTGATGCAGGAAGAATGGGCTGTACAATGAACATACTGTACATCACTACTTGCTTTGCTATTGTTTTTTGTTGAACACATTTTCTTATATTTTTAATTTTATATTTTGCAATATTGATGGAAGTGTAAAATATTTAATTTTTGGTGAACATAACACACATTGAACTGCATGTATGAACTAGCCAATTTGTAAAGTATTGATTGATAAACGATAAAGGTTTTACTGTATTAACCCCTTCATTGTCTCTTAAATATTTCATTTGGCTAATGCCAGATGATTCTATTCAGCACAAGAGGAAGTGAAGGGGATAAGGGGGAAAGAGAAGGCAAAGTTATGAAATAAAATGGTGGTCTGGAGGCCTTGGAAATAAAAGGAATAACCAATGCCTTTTGTAATCAGTAAATATTCTACAGTATGTATAGCATGACTCAAGTCTAGTTAACACAGAAAAAAGAGCAACACAATTACCCTAAAAGAAATTTATTTCCATATCACATACAAAAAATATCAAAAAAATAATCTAATATGAATTGCAATAAATAACTTACCTGGTAAATACTCTCATCGTGGTTTCTTTGGGCACATTGGTGTCTCCAGGGGCTCCAAAATATAAATCCCAGCAAATATAGTGAAAACATACTGGTCTTTAAGTATGTACTGAAAAAAGGTTTATTGAAGCCGGTATCATTGAAGATATACTGAAAATAAAATTTGAAAAATATAAAAAAGTCTATTATTTTTCATCCCTTATACCATATATTTATTTTCTCTTAATGTTACATACAGCGTATACTAAAAAGAAAGTGTTTCAGGCTCAAGAGAAACAGATACCCTCCCATTATTTGCTGCTGATCATTCATTAATTACTTGTGCATAAGATGTGTTCTCCTACAGTACTTCCCTTCCACAACACAATCTAAAGATTTCCATCTGCTTTACCCACATTACTTTAGTAAACCTAATACCACCCCTCAGTGGCAGGTCCATCCCCATAAACTACTCAACACCACGATCTCTGCTTCTTCCCTGTTGTCTATTCCCGTTTTATCCATTAAATACACCAGCCCAGTCTTTCATCTCCTTTTTGGTCTTCCACTTTCTCTCCTACCATTTACTTCTTTTTTTTTAATCCTTGTTCCCCCGTCTTCTCAACCTGTCCACACCATCTCAAGAAACCTGGTTAGTCTCCTTTTATTTGCACATCTTATTTCTAAATTTAGTATTCCTTGTACAGTATTACCCCGCTTAACGCGCTTTCACTTAACGCGTTTTCGCATATACGCGGTGCCTTGCCAAAGCTGAACTTTCACTTAACGCGGATTTTTCCACAGCAACGCGGTGAGTGTCCGGCTCGAGAGCTATTTTTAGATTCGCACCACCCCCCACCCGCCACCCTGCCTGACTGCCTGTTTTAGCTCATAAAATTCATACAAATTACCCAGCCAGAATATAGTTTACATTGCTGGAATTCTTATAATTTGGTGATCATTTTGAATATAAACAACATATTTTTTGCATTAAACATACAATTTTTAGATAAAATGTTTAATCTGAGTAAGTATGTTATCTTTTGTCCAAAATATATGACATTTATATTCAAAATATTCCTGGTCTTACAAGGAATCCAGCAATGTCAATTATATTATCCTAACTTTAGTTTGAGGTATTATTTATTAAAATTTAGTGGTTATCCCACACATCTCCTTGGGACGGTTGGTGGGGGGTGGGGGGGAGGGAGGGACCAACCGACCGACCATCTGTTACCCGGTGAAGAATTATTTTTTTTTAACTGAAGATATTTGTTTTAGCTCATAAAATTCATACAAATTACCCGGTCAGAATATAATTTACATTGCTGGAATTCTTATAATTTGGTGATCATTTTGAATATAAACAACATATTTTTTGCATTAAACATACAATTTTAGATAAAATGTTTAATCTGAGTAAGTATGTTATCTTTTGTCCAAAATATATGACATTTATATTCAAAATATTCCTGGTCTTACAAGGAATCCAGCAATGTCAATTATATTATCCTAACTTTAATCTGAGGTATTATTTATTACTAAATGTTAAAAACTCTTGAATGGAGGATTGGTGGGGGGTGGGGGGAGGGTTGGGACTGACCGCGCGGTTGGAAGAGGGGGGGAGGCAAGGTGGGGTACTTTGATTGACAGATAGTGTTGAAGAATATATTTTTTTTTTATTAACTGTAGATATTTGTTTTAGCTCATAAAATTCATACAAATTATCCGGCCAGAATATAATTTACATTGCTGGAATTCTTATAATTTGGTGATCATTTTGAATATAAACAACATATTTTTTGCATTAAACATACAATTTTTAGATAAAATGTTTAATCTGAGTAAGTATGTTATCTTTTGTGAAAAATATATGACATTTATATTCAAAATATTCCTGGTCTTACAAGGAATCCAGCAATGTCAATTATATTTTCCTAACTTTAGTTTGAGGTTATCCCACACATCTCCTTGGGACGGTTGGTGGGGGGTGGGGGGGGGAGGGAGGGACCGACCGACCATCTGTTAGCTGGCTGTGTACTGTAGTGTGAGAGGGGGAGGGAGTTGAGTCCATTATTTGAATGGACATTAACTTGGCGACTGTATTTCTCTATTTCTCTTAAGTATTAATTGTGTGCATGTACCATCATAAAATTAAGATGTTATTTTTACTACAACATAGTTATTTGTCGTCAAAAAGTGGAGTTTGGGGGTCGGGCTGGGTTCTATTGGAATTAATCCCATATGTTCTGTTATTCACTTAACGCGGTTTTCACTTAACGCGGGACCCTCTGGGTTCAATGACCGCGTTAAGGGGGCAACCGTATCCTTTTTTCCAGACATTCTGCTCTCAAAGTCACTGTGGTTAGTAAAATTCTAATGGTCAGAATGTGGTAGGGAACAGACTTCATTCTCTCTCTTAATCTTTTCAACAGGTTCCTCCATGACCTCTTCCACCCCTACTCAATCTCTCCGTTACTTCCAGTCTCTCTTCAACAAACATTTAGAAAACAGTTGTGCGGTTTTTCATATTCAAGGCTGTTGAGATGTATGGTACTCAGTGTCTTCAATATAGATACTGTAATGCAAGCATGAGCTTTTCAGGCAACTCTGAATGTAGAAATGAACTGATACAGCAAGTAAACTCTGTAACTTACTATATTTTTCTCATGTTATATCACAGACAAAAACTGAACATGACGTAAGAAAATAATACCTCCGACAATTCTGATGAAGCCACCCAAATGACGTCGACCACCAGCAGGACAAAGATGCCAAGGGCCAGACGCCTCCCTCGACCCATCATAGACCATCACTGTTAATCATGTTAGTTGTTAGACAGTGCAGTAATAAACACTAAAGGCACATAGGTTACAGTACATGGCCATGTCCATTAAAAAAATAATAAATAAATAAATAAATAGATAGATACTGTACAGTACTGTAAAACGACCAAATATCTATTAATATCCACCATTGAACTACCGTACATCTCGAATCCGGTCTGATTGGTTCCTGAGCAGTGCCAGATTAGTGATTTTGCCAAACCACAGGTGATTAGGTTAGGATTAAATAAATAAACACCTCTAACCCACTTCATAACTACCTCACCCTACCTTTAAAATACTCTGTAAATAGTACAAGTTGGGTAATGAAAAGAAACAACAAATGAAAAGCAAGTGAAATTTATTGAAGTATGTATACTGTATATACAGGCAAAATACCTTACTAGGTGTTACTGCCACAGTAAGATGAGAGAGAGAGAGAGAGAGAGAGAGAGAGAGAGACACCTTTCGTTCAACTAACATATACAGTGATCCCTCGGTTAACGAATTACCTTCCATAAGATTCTTCACTTCGGCTAACGAGCAAACCCCCAGTCAACGAATTCCTTATGAATTTTCCCAACATGTTTTCGCCTGCATTTGGCTGCCCACCAGCTGTAGTATTAGTCCGCCAATACAGTAATCGGTTCTAGGGCTTAAATTCCTTACCATTTTAGTAAATATCAAGAAGGTTGTACTATTCAATAATTTTAAAAGTTTTATATTAAAATTTTTAGTAATTTTAACAATTATTGAATATAATTGAAGTACAGGAAACTAATTTTTTGCACGCCAAACAGCCACTCAACACACAGAGCTTGGCGTCAGTTTGTTTACCAGTTCAGAGGAAGGAACATCTTGTTTGAGACTCTTCAACATAAAGGCTTTTTTTCTGCGTTTCCAGTCAAATTATTGGTCATTTTGAAATAGATTTTACATATTGATAATATATCGTGCAGTGCAGTGTTGATTTAAAGAAAATAATCTTGAATTATACCAAGTGAACTAAAATTTTATGGGTGAAATGGCAGCATGGGGTGGCTTCTCTTCCACCCCAATGCCTTCTCTTCTCCCTTCTCCTCCACCCCCATTCTAATTCCCATCATCATCAACCAGGAGCCTTCTACATGCACACCTCAAAGTAAGTGTACTTTACTGCATTTATTTTTAGTTTGCATGTAATTTTCGGTGAGCTGGAACCAATTACACAAAAACCCATTGAAACAATGGTTTCAGATAACGAGCAACCTTCTGGAATGAATTGTGCTCGTTAACCGAGGGACCACTGTACAACATATACCTTTACCAAGAGGATATTACACCAGCTCTCGTTGGTCAAATCATAGACCCTAAAACGTGAGTGTGAACTATTAAATCCTCTAAAAAACTCTAAATAACCTTAATAAGTATATTTACGTACTGTATTTTGATAATATAATACAAATTGTCTCCTGATGTATCAACAGTTGTAACATGTGAGTTATATTTAACAGGCTATGTACTGTACATTGATTGTATTATTCATACTGTGTCCTGAGATAACAGCATTTGTTATATGTGAATTGTTCTTTAACAGGTTTTGAACGAATTATATGGTACGTGTCATCATTGAGGGTCTTATTCTCCAACCCAAATCAATAACGCTCCTATGAGCGTTAACACAAGGTATCTGTATTTACTTACATCAGAAGGTTGGTTATTGCCACTTCCAAAGTAAAGAGTTGGATTGTACAACTAAGCAGAGTTACATGCCTGAAAGCAGGGGGTCATCAAGACTGTCTTGTGTTTCATCTAAAAAGTGTTGACTCCTGTCTTACAGATTTCTCTGCTATTTTTCTGAACATATCCTGCAAGCTAACCTGTTTCATGTATTTTGGTCTTTCTTTGATTAGTTTTTCTTGTAACATGTAAACATTCATTATTTCCTGTTCAGTAACAAAAGTGCGTTGTTCGAGACCTTTTATCAATTCACCTGTCAGCTCAACTAACTTATCAATGGACACTCTTTCAGCTACCTCTTCCTAGTTTTCATCACAACCAACAGAGTGCCGACTCCAACGGTCACTCTCCTCCCCACGCACCACCAAGCAGTTCCCGCCTCATATAGATCCTTCGGGAACGATCAGGACTCCACGACACGAGTTGTGGAGAATCCTATAAGGATTCCCTGGGCCCGCATTTTTGAGCTACCGAACAGGGAGGTACTACCGCCTGGGAAGATATTGGAAGCATAATGTGTTGTCTAATGGTAGACCCTGCTGCCATATGTCATCACGAAAATTGTGACCAAGTCCAAGGTTGCTGATCTGACTTTCTGTGTTGTGTGAGAGTGAATGAGTGAGGATGGATGAGTTTCTAGGTGGATAGGTGCTGAGTGAGGATGGATGAGTTCGGATGGGCGAGGATGGGGGAGGGGGATGGGGGGGGATTCCACGCCCTTCCCAGTGGGTGGGTCCTGATACCTTCCGTCGGCGCCTGACGGATGGTACCATTCACCACCTCCAAGGATGGGCGAGGATGGGGGAGGGGGATGGGGGGGGGATTCCACGCCCTTCCCAGTCGGTGGGTCATGATACCTTCCGTCGGCGCCTGAGGGAGCAATGCATCAAGAGTTTCACCACTCTTCATAATATGGTTCAGCATATTTGGATAAAACGTATCAGGGAGGGAAAGCCAATCAACGAACGAGATGATTAGAAGGAAGGTTTTTATTGGTTAAAAAAAAATTATTTTCTTCGACCTCTCGCAGTACAACATGGATGCTTATCTATATGTTAATGCGTCGAGAAATTAAAAAATGGAATGATTTATCTTACTTATATATGTGTGCGTGTATAGACATAACGCACGCACGCACACAAAACAATTACATATACAGACACGCACTCACGCAAGCACAGAGACAATCACGGACACAGACGAACACAAACAAGTGGTGATGTAAAAAAATAAACGAAAAGAGAGAACCAGATAAGAGAGACAGAGACGTATAGACAGACAGACGATGACAGGAAGGGGAGACAGAAAGCCCAAGAATAAAAACAGGAAACCCAAAGACAGTGAACAAATGAGAGAGAGAGAGAGAGAGAGAGATGAATAAATAGATAGACAAAGACAGACAGAGAAATATATTGAGAGAGAGAGAGAGAGAGAGAGAGAGAGAGAGAGAGAGAAAGCTAACGAAGAACGGCAGTAATTACCCAGATATCAATCGACTGTTCTCAAGACGTGTGTGTGTGTGTGTGTGTGGCCGAGGTTATACACAGCCTGCAGGGAACAATAGTTAAGGGTGAAGGCGCTAATAACTGCCTTAAACACTCTTGTCATTACGGGTCTTATCTCTGAGGAGGAAGTTAAGAAACGAGGCAAAGATGAAGAAGACTGCCAAGAGATTAAGACGATGATAAAGATGATGTGGAAGGAGATAAAAAGAGAGATGAGTAAACAGGATAATAGTGGATTGATATATTGAGTTCTTGTTCTTGTTCTTCTTCTTCTTCTTGTTCTTGTTCTTCTTCTTCTTCTGTTGTTTATTGTTGGTATTGTTGTTTTATTGTTGTTGTTGTTTTTGAATAGTTGAAGCCAAAAACGATAAGTAATTAACTTGATTAATTTGGATGTAACTATGAAATTGTCTTAATTGATATTTAAGTACGCTTATTTACGTCTCCTGTCATTGATATAAGAGATTTTAAATAATCACACTTAAGAAAGCCACTTAATCACACTTAAAGGCTTCATCAGTCCAAGTCGAGTTGTTTAGTAGTAATCACACTTGGAATAATTAATCTTTTCATTCCAAGTGTCTTAAGTAATCGCACTTTAGGACATTATCCACAAAATCCACAGATCTTAAGTAATTGCACTTAACACTACATGTGGTCCAAGTGTTAAGTAATTGCACTTAAGATCTCGACACTTTTAAATAATCCTCACTTAAGGGATAATTACACTTGAAAATCATTCTACTTAAGATTTTAAGTCGTTAGGGATAAGGCACTCAAGTCATCATACTCAACACCTCAGTCATCGTTCTCAGTGTCTTAAGTCATCATACTCAACACCTTAGTCATCGTTCTCAGTGTCTTAAGTCATCATACTCAACACCTTAGTCATCGTTCTCAGTGTCTTAAGTCATCATACCCAACACCTTAGTCATCGTTCTCAGTGTCTTAAGTCATCATACTCAACACCTTAGTCATCGTTCTCAGTGTCTTAAGTCATCATACTCAACACCTTAGTCATCGTTCTCAGTGTCTTAAGTCATCATACCCAACACCTTAGTCATCGTTCTCAGTGTCTTAAGTCATCATACCCAACACCTTAGTCATCGTTCTCAGTGTCTTAAGTCATCATACGCAACACCTTAGTCATCGTTCTCAGTGTCTTAAGTCATCATACGCAACACCTCAGTCATCGTTCTCAGTGTCTTAAGTCATCATACCCAACACCTTAGTCATCGTTCTCAGTGTCTTAAGTCATCATACCCAACACCTTAGTCATCGTTCTCAGTGTCTTAAGTCATCATACGCAACACCTTAGTCATCGTTCTCAGTGTCTTAAGTCATCATACGCAACACCTCAGTCATCGTTCTCAGTGTCTTAAGTCATCATACCCAACACCTTAGTCATCGTTCTCAGTGTCTTAAGTCATCATACCCAACACCTTAGTCATCGTTCTCAGTGTCTTAAGTCATCATACCCAACACCTTAGTCATCGTTCTCAGTGTCTTAAGTCATCATACCCAACACCTTAGTCATCGTTCTCAGTGTCTTAAGTCATCATACCCAACACCTTAGTCATCGTTCTCAGTGTCTTAAGTCATCATACCCAACACCTTAGTCATCGTTCTCAGTGTCTTAAGTCATCATACGCAACACCTCAGTCATCGTTCTCAGTGTCTTAAGTCATCATACCCAACACCTCAGTCATCGTTCTCAGTGTCTTAAGTCATCACACCCAACACCTTAGTCATCGTTCTCAGTGTCTTAAGTCATCATACGCAACACCTTAGTCATCGTTCTCAGTGTCTTAAGTCATCATACGCAACACCTTAGTCATCGTTCTCAGTGTCTTAAGTCATCATACG